AAAATTTAAGGGGACACATTACCGAAGAAGTATCGTCTTGATATCTTGGTTTTTCAAAAATGAACATTTGACATTGTAGAATCATTAAAATGACTAGATTGACCTGGTGTTCGCTATCCGAATAAATTCAATATCAAATTCTAATTTGTACCTTGAATATTTCAGAAGTTATTTAGATTTTTATTTGAGATGACAAATGAAAAACATGCGCAAATGAAAACTATAAATGTCTTTTTTTCTATATCGGGCTTTTCTTCAGTTTCATGTCTTCAAAATGCTAAGGCTTTTTTTAATCTTTAAGATAAAGATTTCAAATTTCTTGTACATGTCTATCGCTATGCATATGATTTTAAACTGTGCACGTAAAAAGCATTCATTTTCTTAGTTTCATTTTTTATATACAAGATGTAAATAGAGGTATTGTTACATTTCCTCACTTTTTTTTCACTACCAAATGTAGTAAAAAAAATCTCTATTTAAGCGAATATTAAATACACCTTAAAATACATGCACAGTTTTGTGCAATATATTTCAGTGAATCTACAGATAAAAATTTGAAGAAAAAATATTTATATTTTGGAAAGTAGAAAGGAATTTAAAAAATTGAACTTTTCTGAAAAAATTTAAATTTCAACTAAACAGGCAGATCAAAATGAATTCGTTTCTTCAAGATGCTTTATATCATTGTTAAATTTCAATAGCATTTTGGCGGCGGTATTGAAAAGGGGACCTTTGGGTTCCGAGCCGAACATCTTAACCACTAGACAAAAGGAATTCCCAATGTCCAGATGTGGATATTGGCTTATAAACATCACAGTAAGATGGTGGTAGCACGGTGCACTACAGGAGCAACTCCCAGCTTGTGTGATATTATTTGAATATCAAGGAAGCGATAATTGTGCTGCGTGCATATGCTCAAATTGTAACCTCCCATTTTATAAGTGTGCGCAGGCACGTGCTGGCTTTGTGCTATAAATGGTCATAGACTTTGAATTTGGGAGAGCTTGGTGTAGAAATTGAGGTGCTGCCATCTGTTGGATGTAGAAGTAGATGGAATTTTTGGTGCTGCCATCTAATAGTGAGACTGAAAGTAGGTGTTGCGTGTTCTTTATCCGCGAGTCACCATTTGGCGGCGGTATAGAACCGGGGACCTTTGGGTTCCGAACCGAACATCTTAACCACTAGACAAAAGGAATTACCAATGTCCAGATGTGAATATTGGGTTATAAACATCACAGTAAGATGGTGACAGCACGGTGCACTACAGTATCATAACCAATTTCAATATTATTTCAAATAAAAAAAATGTCGAAAGGCAATGTGTCTCCTTAAACAATATTGCGTAACTTTTATAAAAGTATGGATAATATACAGTTTTCCCAATACGCAACAAACTTCAAGTTCAATCCTTCGTCTTCTGACAAGGCGGTAGTCTGTGTAAATTACGTCGGAATAAACTTAAACCGGAATAGATAACGTTCCTATCTTCATGCATCTTTCATATCTGGGTCACAACATACACTGCTTGCGAGCGGGTATCAAAAACACGTGTTTAGCAGAAACCCTCCAATGCAAGTTGATTTTAAAAAACTAACGAGTTTACTTGAAAAATTGAATATTCTAATGAATAGGAATATTTACACATTCAAACTCAATCGAGAATCGTGAAGACGCTGTAGCATTTAGGTTAGAGAACCTAAATTTCAGTAATTTTAAATTTAAAAGAGTAATTGTCGTTCTAATTTCAAATTTAATACCTCTAAAATAATGAAATAAAATTTTCTATCGCTTGATATAAAATTTATCTCGCTATGATCAATAGTTCCCGATAGATTTTAAATTATATTAATCATATATTTCAAAATAATTTCCGTTCTTAAATAGAAAGTAGTAAATTACGGCAGTGGTATATCATGCGCGTGATAGAGTTTGGACGCAACGATGCATCTGATTATTGATTGCAATCGAGATCATATAATTTGATAATATTTTTTGGCAACGTTTGACAAGCAGAGAACTTATTTGTTTTGATTAGAATTTCGAAAAAGAATTCGTTTGAAATTTTAACTTTTGACTTACGTTCGACAAGCTGAAAATTTCATGGTTATTGAATTATAATAAAATTGTTAAACAAGGAAAAATACTTCACGCGGAATGTTGCTTACCAAGAGGTTTTTTGAATAAAGAAATATGTAAATAATATGTAAATAAAAAAATATTTCCTGTTATTTTATTTTTTTTCAATCAATGTTAAACATTTCTCTCGCATATATATCTATTTAAACACGTCAAATTTGACGGGAAATCTCTCGAATGAAGAGGCAATTTGCACCCGTCGTACCATGACGGATGATTTTTCTAGTTTTCAATAATAATTGAAACAGCAAATAGGTAGAAGTTTTAATATCATACTAAACAGTTAAAAACTTGGTGTAAGTCATCCAATAGGACTTGAAGTTTTTACGCATCTTCAAAAATTGAAAGAGAAATTACTCTATTTCCATTGCGAAATTAATAGTGAATTCGACAAAAGATGGCAAATAACTTTTTTCTCGATTTTAAGAATGCCTGAAAGTCCTTTCCGAATATTGTTATTTTCTATATCTGTACGCGCTCCGATAGGTTTGGGTAGCTCCTTTTTAGCTTACTTTCTATATCGCCGTCATATTACTATAATGACATTTATTTATTTGCTACCAGTACGCGCACGGCCTTGCCCGTGGAATCAGGGCTTCAACAAAATGTAAAAAAAACGCCCACAATGACATGAAAAAGTTTTGAAAGCAAAATCAAAACTAAAGATACACATTATTGATTTTCCCGCTTATTTTTTTTTCGCGATAAAGAATAATAAAAAATTGCAACGTGAAAATTATTATACCGCAAGCTAAGTATGCGAGATGAATAAATACGTTAAGATACTGCCGAAAATAATAATCAGTCATTCAATTCAAGGTTATGACGTCACCTCCCCTTTAACCAATCACATAGCCATCTGCGTGCCGAAGAGGTGCCAAGCGAGGAACTCTCTCCATAAAAATAACTCTCAACCGCCCAGAAAAAAATTAATTTAAATAAAAACTTGAAAAGATATTTTAACCGTTGTTGTTTTAATTCCGACACAACCGCTCTACTTATAAACTGAAAAAAATTGAAAATAATAGTGTTATTAGAAAGTCGGATGCAACAAATTTAAAATCAAAAGTAACATCTTGATGCCAAAACTGGGTATTTTTTAAAAATTTCTCAAAATTCAGTAAATTGCGTTAGAAATCCAAAACTAACTTCATTAGAACGGAAATCGCGTGCTCTTTCCGATGGTGTATCTATTTTTGTCGTACAGTTATTCGAAACCATTCTATTGAGAAATTAGCGCGAAAAATCAACCGAAACAACACAAAACATTAAATAAAAAAAATTCTAGATTAAATTTTAAAATTTCGGCTTCGAGGTGCATTCAGTCACCATTACGACTACCTGTGTGCCAAATTTGATGACTGTAAGTGCGACAGATTCGTCTAGACATCGCAGACAAACACATACACACACACGCACACACACAAACATTGCCTTTTATAAGTATAGATTTAAAGAAAAGCACACTACAGAGAAAACTCCATTTGCAGAGTGCTGAAAACAACAAACACACAAAGAACAAAAGCCACCACGAGTAAATAAAAAAAATGCGCTACAAAACAAAAAGTTGAACGCAGAGAATACACAAAATCATAAATATTTCGTAAATGCATATATAATTAAAAACGAAAACACATAATTACAAAAACATTAAAACACACTATGATTCGAAAAGTCGTATTTTTTAAAAAAATTAAAAGCCCATTTCCAAAAGGCAAGGGTTAAAAAGTCAATGCACACAAGCACCGAAACCTCTAAAAACACACCAGGAGTTTAAACGATTACTAAGACGAAAATACACACTCGAGATAAAAATAAACTGCAGCAATTAAGATAAAAATAAATTACAACACGGCGCCAAAAACAGAGTACAAACCTATAGAAACATTAAAAAAATGGTCAAATATATAAGAACACGGAAAATCAAAACAAAACGCATAAAAATCTAAAAAGTTGTTAAAAGGCAAAATAAAATATCATGCATTTAAAAGCTGCAAACTTTTTGATTTAAAAGTACCAAGAGACATATTAATAATGTCAAGTTCATCAGAGAATTTGTTAAAAATTTTATAAAATTTATATAACGAGAACCTGTTAATATAATTAAATTTATATGTAGTAGACATGTAGTAGTATATGTAGTTCAGACATAATTTTTTAGCCTTATTAGAAGTTTATTCAATGTTAAACAGTTTTTATGAAGTAGTGAAATTTAAAAATCAATAGCAGAATTTTTTTAAAAATTCAGTACTCAACGTAGTTTTGTAAATCAGTTTCTTTTTTAATCAGAAAAGTATATTATATATTGACTAACAGTAACTTCAGGACGTTGCCCGTGACAACATGAATTTCAACAATTTTTTTTAATAAAAAGCCCACAAGCTTCAGCTACAGATTTAAATTTTGAAATCACCTTATGAAAATAGCTCCTTGAGGTCATATTTCATTTTTTTTCAGTTTCAGCGAAAATACGAACAGGATGAACATGTCTTCTGCAACTAAAGATATCAGTCTTCAAAAAGTACAAAAACAAACAAATTAAAAGTACGATCTCTCGACGCGAGGGCAGACGTTACGATCGTACTGTATAATCTCGCTGAAAGCGAAGGGATTATGACGTCAAGTGGTTTCGACGAAATGCATGCTGGGAAACAACACTGCGATCTTGGTTACGAAGAGGAAAAATTGGAACGAAAATATTTTAATACTTCAGAAAAAAATTAATTAAAATTCAACCA